ACTAATTAATAACGTATAAATATTAATCTAAAAATACTGGAAATGAGTTTTATAATTATAAAATGCAATTAATTGTAAAATAGGCTATAATTGCAATTATATGCAATTTAGCTTTAAAAATTCCAAACAAATGCTAGGTAAACTCTTTACTTTCATAAAATAAACAGAAAAAATATCGAACCGAATTGAACAAATTTATGTGCATAAAATTTATTTTATATATAAAATTTAAAAAATAATAAAGCATTAATTTTTTTAACTTGGACCTTAAGAACTTAGATGGAAACAATTAGAATTAACATACAAACTTACTCTATTAATATTGAAACTACTCCCTCCGATCCAAAATAAGTGATTTTTTGGCCTTTTTCTTGTGGTCCAAAATAAGTGATTTTTTCAAATTTCAAGAGTGAATTAATTATTTTTTTCCTATATTGTCCTTAGAGTAAATAGTGTTGGAATATGTGTTAGGAGTGTTTATGTGAGATAGTAAAGGTTAATATGGTCAATTTCATTGCTAATTAATGCTAAAAAGTGAATTTCTTAATCTGTGTGAAAACATCCAAAAAATCACTTATTTTGGACCGGAGGGAGTAAATTGTTTCCAACAACTTTCAGCAATCCATTTATTTTTTTCCCCCGTTATTTCCGCCTTTATATCTTTATGATATTTCGATCAAATATCAAATCGATATATTTCTCAAAAACTTTAGTCAGTCTACACTTTTTTTCTTCTTCTTCAGACTTTGTCTTTTAAACTCCAAATATTCGGCTAGCAACTCATAGTGGAGGCAAAATGGTTAAAAGAAAGCAGTTAATTATTCATATTATTCATTACAAAATGGATTGGATAATAAACTTTTTAAACGGGTCAAATATGGATAAGAACCATATTATCCATTTAGAAAATGGATAACCAATGAGTAACTAATGAATAACTAATGAGTTTTAACTTTTACATTTACAAAGCCTCAAATTGGGGTTCCTCAAGTTTGGGAGACTAAAAATTCTCCCAAAAGTGATCATATTCAAGAAGTCATGGATAATACCATATTATTCGCCGGTTAATCCATTTTTTATCCGTATTAAATATGGATTGGGTCAAATAATTTATCCGTTTTTTCATTATCCGTTTTCGACCCGAACCGCCCCGCCTGTTTTCCACTCCTAGTAACTCAATAGCCAAAAAAAGAAAAGGAAATCTTTTGCATTTCGATGTCTAGTGTTCCTTGATAATCTTGGATTACAAGTTGTGATATTTGTAAGGGCGAAAAATAAGCTGTTTGGGCTGGAATAAAAAAGAAAAAGTAATTTATAATTGATAATGATGAGATATTTATTACTCTTATTTGTGACTCAACTATCAACTTTTTTCAAGGAAAAAGAATTCCAACAATCAAATACTTCTAATAACTGTATAAAGAAATTGATATGTTGCATCTACCTCAATTATGAGAGATGGAAGGGATGGCCTCCAGGAGTTCAAGCTTGCAATATGAACATATATAAGCTGTACTCTAAGAAAAAGTGTCATTTTCCATGCCTTTTCCAGCCTGTATAAGAATATCTCTCATTTTTTAAAGAGGTCACCTTAATACAAAAAGAAAAAGAAAAGAAACTATTTTTACTTAAAAAAATATATCCCAAAGGTGACGATTAAGTAAATAACACGTCAGACCTAATCTAGAACCACCTCGTCTCAGGCTTCAACCCACCAAATTCCCCATAATTACCCCCATAAATTCTCAGGGGCATTATCGTCAATTCATTACCCCACTCCACAATTTGCCTGATACGCGTATCCAATGAGGCCATTATTCAATCGCCATTACCGACCTCTCTTCCTCCTTAAAACCTCCCTTTCCCCTTCCCCTCTTTCCCATTTCTTCTTCCAACCAAACCACAAACCACTCTCTCCTTTTCTCTCTCTACAATTTTCATTTTTTTCTCTCTCTATATTGAAGCAAGGAAATCGAGTTGTTTGTTAATTTAATTTTTGTACGCAAAAAAAGTTTTTAAAAAAATGGCTCAGAGAACGGAGAAAGAAGAAACGGAGTTCAAGGCCGTACCTGAAACGATAACGCTTTGCGTCAATAATTGTGGAGTCACCGGAAATCCAGCCACCAATAATATGTGTCAAAAATGCTTCAACGCTACCACCCATGCTACCTCAATATCCGCCAGCTCGCCGACGGGGTCGGTGGTCACGATTCCTCACAAGTTCGCTGAGAAATTGGCTAGATCTGAAAGATCGGCTCGATTTAGCTCGTTGAGGTCGTCGCCGGAGAGGAAGTCCGATCTGGAAAGAACAAGTCAACATCTGACGGTGAAGGAGGATAAACTGAAGGAAAGCGAACCCCCGGCTAAGAGAGAGGTGAATCGTTGCTCCGGTTGTCGGAGGAAGGTAGGATTGACCGGATTCCGGTGCCGGTGCGGCGAATTGTTCTGTGGTGAACACCGGTACTCGGATCGTCATGACTGTAGCTACGACTACAAATCCGCCGGGCGAGACGCGATCGCGAGGGAGAATCCGGTTGTCAAAGCAGCGAAAATCATTAAGGTTTAAAAGGAAAGATAACACGTAAAAACGCATCCTTTTTACCTTTATCGTCAAATTTCAAATGATGAATTATGGAGATACCGAATTTGCAAGCTCCATAACTCTGCTTCTGCTGCAGCTGTTATTCTCCTCTCAGAGAGAGGGAGAGACGCACAACGAACATCAAAATAGAGAGAGAAATTCGAAAAAATTATATTTTTATATATTTATATAATTTGAAGTGAATTTGTTGTGTTGAAAATTTAACTCCCTCTATGGATTGTTATTGAAGAATTAAATCCTTTTTAATTTTTTTCAATGTTTGTTTTCTGTTTCGATTATTGAAAGATAGCAACAGAAAGATTGTGGCTTAGCAATTGATTTGTTCTTCATTTAGTCCTTGTTTGGTTATTGAGCTAAATAATGAAATGGAGCTTTTAATCAGCTACGATTCGTATCATTTTTCTCTGAAAAGCAAACTCGGTGGCCGTATCAATTCTGTGACCGTGAGTGGCATATCGTCGTAAATTGATTGAAGTGTCGAGGCAATTTGTTATTTGATTTTTTATTATAAATTTATAATTATATAAAAGATGAGGACATAATAAAATATTTAAACATAGAAAAGGTAGGGGCCATCGGGCGGCCAAGTTGTTGCTTGTATCGTAATAAATTGGGAATGAATCCAGGAGACGTGAAAATGAGGGAACAGAGACTGGTTGAGTTTTAGTTTGAGTAGTCGCTATTATTGTGTAAAATATCTGGAAATCTTAGTTGCCAAAAGTGAATGGTTATCGGTTCAAAGGTTTTCTGTTTTCTAGTCGAAACCGACGATTGAAGGGAAATCCCGTTTCGTTTCATAATTTATTTTATTAACTTTAGTCTATTTCCCTGTCTAGACATAGGTTTTTCTTTGCGAACTTTCTATAACAGGCATCCTTAATAACAGTAGTTTACTATAACAGTTAAATTTTCTTTGAACCAATTATTCATATTCTGTTATAATATGTATAACAATACTTTACCGTAGCAGGCTAGCAGCAAAATAATATCGAACCAGCCGAATCAGTTATAGAAAAGTTTGGCTGATTTAGATAGATAGTGATTGAATCAAGAGAGCTACTTCTAGAGTCAAATATAACTAGCAGTTGTTTAAAACTATATTTGGTTGAAATAAAAAAATTCACCTTCGAAAAAGAAAATTAGCCTATTTCCATATCAAAAATTGTAAGAGAAGTGTTGTAAACGTAGTGTTGTATTAACTACTAGTGGTTTAACGCGTAAAACTCGTATAAATATAATCATCTATACTTGATCGCAAAAATTAAAAAGAGAAGAAGAGAAAATTGAACTTATGTCAAATATATAATTGTCACATCCTTCTTCTACTTTTGTTATGGTGATCTTCAAATTAGTCCATCTGAAATATGTACTGCAATTTTTTTATTTTAAATGTAAGTTGTTTTTCATCATATGGTGTAGCATATTTCCTTTTAAGAAGACATTTATATCGTAATAAAACACCGAATTTATTTTGTATTTGGTGTTTATATTAAATTAACATATAATGTGTTTTGGCACATAAATTTCTTTCATACCGGATGTCTGCTAACATAACACTAAAGACAATGGGATGAATCCTTTTAGCAGAAAAGAAATTCCAACAATAAGAAACATGTTCCGGAATCTAACCTAACCATTTCTATATTGGAAACTACAATATTTTTCTACTAATCCGTGTTTAAAACATTTGTTGGTTTTTTTATATGATTAAGTAAAGTAGCTAGTAATATAATATTCAGTGGATTTAATAATTGATCAAATTCACCGGGAAAGGACAAATGATCGGTGGAATAAAGGACAGTGTTTAAAATGTCAGGGACCATACAATTATTTTTTGCATTAACAAGGTAGAACGGCGTAACAAACAATGGAGTTTAACGTGTTCCTTTTTAAATTGTGATGACAGCAAAATTAAAAAAAAATTAATGAATTCAGCAATATCGCACACCAACCTTTATTTATATTCTTTTCTACCAAATTAAATGTTTGACAAACTCGATTGATTGCTAAGGCGATTTTTTGTTTAAGAAATTCTTTTATAAGAACTGTTTTGTTACAGGATTGCACTTTTTAACATTTTTAGCGGATTTTTCATGAAAAAAAAAAGTGGTTATATTCAGCTTCTTGTAAAGTCCTACTAGTGTTCACAAAATTGTTCTATGTTTCTAACTTCGCTAAAATTCCATTATAGTACCATTGTCGAATAAATATTTGAGCAAATACTAGAGTTGGAATCAAACCTAAGTAGCGCACTAAAAGTCAAGTTGTGTTCCCCAAATCAACCAATGCAGTTGTCTAAGATTTTGAATCTTAGGGTGCCAGTCAAAATATATACCCATTATTTAAAATATATACACATATATACACAAATGCGTACATAGTATTATAATACCGGGTTCAGATGAACTCAATACTTTCAACACAGAGTATACATTTAGTGCAAAAATTCACTAAAATTGCAACATATAGTGGGTCTGAATCCATAACTTAAAAATATAATAGGTTCACCACTAAGGACCATAAATATTGAACCTATAGAATTAAAATTCTGGATTCGCCTCTGTTTATGCATATAATTCTTTTGAAGTTTCCAAGTGTCAGTGACCCCCTTAGCCAAAGGTAAGTCCGCCTAGGCTTAAAAAGCAAATCTATATACGTAGAAACTATATATGCCAATACAATTAAAATTTAAAATATTTGAGATGAAAGAATTTTGTGTTTCTTTCCTAAATGTAATAACTTAATTGTAATTGTGGTTCTAAGTAACGTTAGGATAAGATTTTGTGTATGTTTCTACCTTGTTTCGATTTTATTTACAGGATTCTTCATTTTAGTGGAAAATAAGGATAAGATTTTGCAAAATGAGAGGAAACTAATGTTATAGGCATTCTTATTTTAGGATACTAAAAAGCTAAACTAGTGCTTGAAAGCAATGGAATCCAGCTTTTAAAGTCTTCCTTTTTTCACCTGATATAATAATCTTTTATAGGGACAATGATATCCAAATATGATCACAAATAAGAGCAATTGATCCCTTTCTTAGATGCTAACCAAAAGTTAGTAGGCGTTTGGACATAAGAATTGTAAAATTCGAAAAAATTGTGAAAAATATTTTCAAGTGAAAATGGTATTTGAAATTTAGAGTTGTGTTTGGACATAAATTTCAGCTTGGGTTGTTTTTGAAGTTCTGTGAGTGATTTGAGTGAAAATTTGGAAAAATAGCTTTTTGCAGTTTTTCAAAATGCATCTTCAAGTGAAAATTGAAAATTATATGAACAAACGCTGATTTCGAAAAAAAGTGAAATTTTTTTGGAAAAATCTTCCAATCAAAATTTATGTCCAAACGGGCACTTAAAAACAATATTAGCTTTTGTCCCTGTATTCCCTATGGGTGGATTCAGTATTTAAATCTAATAGTTTGGAATTATAATCCTTTTAAAATTTTTGAGTTTTAAATTAATATTTGTAGATATTCAATAATTTTTTTTAAATCAATATATAATTTTGAACAAAAGCTACTGGTTCAGTTGAACCCATATGATCGTATCCCCTACTCTGGCTCCGTCGCTATAATCCTACCCGCTCTCTACCACCTAGTGGTGGAGATAATCTGATATTGCTTTGCCGAAAGAGTTCATAAATACTAGTAGTACTAATATTTTCTTATAAAAACTTGAAAAGTACGTATAATACATAGGCTAATACATCTTAAAAATAAAGCAAAGCAAATAATAATTTGGAAGAAGAAGGACCTTAGTCTCATATTCAAACCGTTATACAAATTGAGCAGTAACAATAAGTTGATATCGCTTACACAAAAATCTACACATGATATTGTACTACACCTATTTCCCCACTTCGCTTAAATTAAACCAAACGAAATTAGATACTATATGATAACGTCACATGAAACCCACTAAGTAAGTATTGTCATAAAGCCAAAAAAAAAAAGATTTTTTTATTTCATTATTGAGGAAGAAAAATTTAAGTTTGTTGAGAGTCATAATTGGAGCGTGACATAGATAGGATTGAAAGTGATTTGTCATCTTAATACCCAATTTCCATGAAACCAAGAAAGATTCTTTTCAGTAGAGTCTTGTTGGCTCTTTTTCGGGCACTTAATTAATTAGGATAAATAAATAAATAGCCCACTTCTTTATTCAAAATTCAATTAAGTCACCAAAAAGACTTTTTAGGCATTCCAAAAAGTTGCAATTTTTTTGGTTAGTCCAATCATTTTGTCATGTCAATTTCATGGAGATGCTTAATAATCTAGACAATTTGTAGTCATGTGAGAAAAATAATGTCAATGACTTTTTAGAGTGGCCAATGAAATGCAAAAGTTAGCTCACTCTCTAAGCTATAATTTAATTGAAGTTTGACACCTAGTTCAAGTGATATAAGGTGGAGACCCTAATGGTAGGTTTTAAGTTTTATTCCCACTATAAAGGGTTATAACTTTAGCTCTATGCTGGTTTAGTTTATCTTTTATAAAGTTAGTATTTTCCAGTAAGAATATGATTATGGATATTGATTTCCCTCCATACTCCTTGATTATAAGTTATAACTACACTCCATTAACGTGGAGATGTCTAAATTTCCTCGATTTTTTTTCTATCTTTCGTAACGTATACATGATGATAAATAAATTATCTAGCAAGCAATTTCTTTTTAATTTAGCAAACATTTAAAAAAATGCTTTAGTTAGACTTTTTCTTTTCTTTTTGTGTATTAGCTAGCAACTACTCATATTTACATCTTTAAACTTTAAATTGTTCTTTAAAGAAAAAAAGGAGGGGGGGGGGGGGGGGGTTAAGTTATTTAACGTTTTTGTGCTAACAATAAAATGGAAGACATGCAACCTTTTACAATTATAACAAATGGGAACACGGTTTTGGTGTAAGATGATGTAAGCATCTTCAAATAAGATAGAATGCGGTAGTAAAATTTTGGATGTAAAAAATAAATTCC